AACAAATTGATGATAATTATGTAGACTAGTATAATGATAATGATAAGTATAGTGATAGTAATAATAATTTTAACTCCAAAATTACACTTGAAACTGTCACTATTAGATAAGATCATGTCACTATTGGCAATAGTAACCTACTTTATTTATTGTAGATTTACAAGTTAGAAACTAATGGTTCCGGAATTTTATGTCACTAATATAGGCATTTTTAAAATATGGTGTTTTGTTTTTTAATGTCAGATTTTCCAAAATTAATGTGGCCCATAAACAACATCTGGAGGAAGTTTTGCGCAAGCATACAATGGTATGGCGGGGAGAATGCAAGTAATTTTGCGCAAGCATGCAAGGGGGAGGTGGGAAGGGGATGGCGGGATGTAGTAATTTAGGTGAGGAATGCATGCTCCCGATGTTTTTCTTGTCTCAAACATAAGGATCTAATTGACATTGACAGCAAAGCATTTTCAATCGATCATGTGTCGAAGAACAACATTTCATGTCAAATGTGTGGTTGAGTTTGGTCTCCAACCAGTTCAACGATCTGTACACGACACCATTTCAATAATTTAACGTCTATTTTGCATCCATATTGGTCATGAAAAGCGCGATGATGTGTGAAGCGACAATAAATAAAGAACACACAACTGTTTCAATTTCCATTTTGTCTCAATTCCTACAAAAATCACTTGGAGTCTCAACATCCATCTTGAGAATTGAACCAATTATCAATTGCTTTTGCATCAAAAATCCTACAAAAATCACTTGGAGTCTCAACATACTAAGGGTTGGATCAATTATCAACTGCTTTTGCATCAAGAGATATATAGTTTCTTCAAGACAAAAGATATATTAGTCATTCATCATTACCTAGACATAGACAAGGACAATCTTCAATTTATTATTTCTCAGTCTTCAATCGTTGATGTTGTGATGAGAGATTTTTTTTTTCATACAGAGAGTTGAAAGATGTATGAAACCAACGTCATGAAGTTGTTCAAACTACAACAAAACAAATCAAATTTGATTACGACCAAGAACACTTTGCGATTCAACCTTGTCATGCAATACGTTTAGGGTCATTGTCATTTGGGCAGACTTGAAAGATGATTGAACAACATCGTGTAGCGACCAAGAATTCAAAATCTAACAGCATCAACGATCACATGATGAGTCAGTTTGTGCGTGTTCTCCTTGTCGTGGCCCTGCAGATCATTTCCGATATCCTCATGGATACATCATTGGGCATTTTCCCCAAGGGCTGTTGCAAGCACACATTTGGAAATTCCTATCCTTGACCAGCAGATTCTCGTGTGTGTGAAAGTTATGCTCTACAATTTTCACCTTGTGTTGGTTCCATTTTTTAACCTCTATACAACTCAAAACTACTTCAAACTCATGAAAACTCTGCTTGATAGCGTGTGTTCATCTTGGCGCAACAATATCATTTCCATCAATTCAGATGGAAAAAACACAATGACAAGTAGTCACGCTGGAGTTGTCACATTGCACAATGAATGTTTCAATCTTGTGCTTCTTATTTGATGTGTTGTTCATCAGCTTGATATTGTGGTAAAAAATGTCACGTATGGTGTATTGAACGAGATGTTTTATAAGGTTCGCCATGCGTTCTCTGTGTATCTTCAAGCTCAACAAAATCACATCAACAAAATGGGTTCCAAATGTACAAAGGACACAATGCAATGGATGGCTATTGGCAGTATTTTCCGTTTTGGCTTCTGAAACTTCGTCGTCGGTTGATGACTCACCTGGAGAACAAACATTATATTCAAGCCTCGTCCATGCAATATTGGATTATTGCAGGAACTCTATCGCCATTGTTTGAGCGGATTGCTATCACTATCTCCTCATACTAATCTTCAAAGCTAATCATCTTTTAGTAACGGGAAGAATTGTCGAAGCTAATGACAAACATTGGAGATACTTTGTACATTCGTTCTACTGCGGATATTGCGTTGAATGAAATTGATTCCATTACAATCGTTCAGCAAGATGATTTGCTTGTAAAAAAAATAAAAAATATGTCATGCACATTGTGGACCAAGGCTTGTGAACACAGTATCCATATTATGAGCTTTTCGGATTTGAACAACAACAGTCATTGGAGGAGATCAATATTTTTTCATTCTCCATCGTGGCAATCGGATTGCAAATCAAGTCGGAAGTATGTCATTGACAAGCACAACGAGAAGACTTTCTTCAGCAAGACATGGGATTGTTTAAATGGACGTTTCTTGCATTTGCGACAGTTGTGCCATGGGCTGGCTACGGAGTTTGCAAATACTACATTTGTTGAAAGCTACTATTCCATTATCAAATGGAAGATAGATGACTCACGCACAATGCACACAAGTATTTCTTGGAATGCATTGTGCATGCGAAGCAATTAGAAACGCTGAAAACTATTATAACCAACGCTATGATGAAAAGTAGTGAAATTAATGTTAATGCCAATACTGAAAAGAGAAATTTGCCAAAATTGCGGTAATTGTGGCAAATATGGCATTTACAAAATTTTATTAAGTCTTCACTAATAAGAGTATGTCACTCATCAGAGGTGACATTACAGTAAACATTCGCTTAAGTCCGCAACTTGATCTGGGAGGTCTGGTGCGGACTTAACTACTCTCAATCTCAGTTCGTTTCTCTTTTTCTCCCATCCTGCCTTCGGTTTCCATCTACGAGGCAGGAAGCTCAAGCCGAAGTTGAAGAAGCCGAATCAACCCCGCTTGTTCAGGGTTTGCGTGTGCTCGTTTCTACTCCCTTTCTTTGTGCTCGTTTCTCCTCCCTTTCTCCTTCTTCCTCTCCTGGCGTGACCTCCGCCCTGCTGCGAGGAGGGTTATAGATAGTCTCCCAGTCAGGAGGTAGAGGGGCGCCAGCACACTCACTCACTGCCCTTCACAATGCTCTGCGCTTGCTTCGGCGATAGGCAGGTGGTTTTGTCACCCACAAAACCACCGTCAACAGTCGCTTCTATTTTGCTCAAGGAGGTTTGGAGCATTTGCATCTATTTTGCTCAAGGAGATTTGGATCGTTTGCATCGCATCCAAGTGAGACAGCAGTTTCTATTTTGCTTGAGGAGATTTTCTGTAAAATACACTCTTGAGAATTGATCCGGGAATTTTGCATTGTGAAGTGCGGACTTAAATGAATGTCTACTGTATTGGGAGGTTTAATTATGTACCAGAATTGTCGACTAGAGCAACCATGGTTCCTAACAGCCTGTGTCATAAAGAAGGGAAAGGCTGCCTGCCGCATGGAAGGAATTTGAGCGGAGGTTTGAGACTCCCATATGACGGTGAATGTGAACCGATCTGGTGTTGCTTCCGGTTCGTACCGAGAAGATGAAGAACTGGTGCTGATAAAGTGTATCAGGTGAAGAAAAAGGTTTGATACGAGAATGGGTTGTATACTCTCCTATCACAATGTATCGATTCGGTCCAAGCTAGATCTCCATGCCTGCAGCACCTAGAATCTAGGTACCAAACTAGAGACGGACAGATATTTCTATAGCAGTTTTGTTTCGTCATGATCGGACCTGCAAATCATCATTACCAGTTTGGGCCATTCACGTTCTTTTTCTGACGGCATTCGTAACATGCCCTTGATATACACAAGCCGTCACAAAACCATGAAACTGTGCGGTCGACTGAGTCAAGCCAATACACCTTCTTAGATTTCAAGAGCTTGTCTCATGAAGTAGAACACCTGTAAATTACACATTGCCTCACATTATTTGTAAAGATTCAATTTTGTACTGTGTTGATGCAAAATACATGAAGTCATGAAAACATCAAATGAGAATGTACCTAGTAAATGATAAGTATGCCCACTATTCTACCCTCGTACTCATTTTCACGAAAAAGCATATCATTTCATGTGCATTTCTCCGTATTTGATTACTGTTATTTAGAATAGACAAACTTCGATGCACGAATAGAAGTTTAATCGAAACTGGATATCTGGGCCGTTCCAGTGAAAATACGCTTCAAAACTCATGCATAAAATTGCACAATTTTTTGGATATCTCTAATACTCAGGACATTTATATGCCCATTCAGTGATTGTAAGTGCATATGCTCAACCAAGCACAGAATGCTCCGGAATCTTCTCTCAACACTGCTCGGCTCATGGCCAAAGAAGGAGCTGAATTCTGATTACCTCCTTCGTGTACTTCTTGTCAGATATGCCTCCGACAATTTTGCTTCTGCTCCTTCATTTCCTGCCATGGAAATTGATATAACCATAGAACTTGATCTGGTTCATTGCCGAAAGTGAACGTGTCTTAGTGTCGATCGAGAGAATATGTAAGTTCTTTAACGTATCCAGTGGAGGAAACATCCTGCCAGCAGTGCAGATAGACAGACAGGTTCACGAAGGACAACCCATCTCCAACATCTAGACTGTAAGTGTCTTTGTTGACGTACTGTACTGCAATGATTCAGCCCCATCAGACCGTAGACTGTTATGGCACCACAGCTGCTTCGTCTGTCGGCTTGTACACAACCGTCTGTCTCATACGTGTAGACAGCCGTACGAAGGACAGCGGAGGCTGTGGTGGGTGCTATCTGATGGTGACAGCAGTTGTATCTCACACAATGATTTCGATACTTCACCTGCCTATCCTGCACAACAAGGTGCGCACTTGCACGACACAGCCTGCTTCGAATGATTTTCGACGATAATGGTTAAACAGGCCCATATCGACAACAATTCTACAGCCAAGCTCCGATCCCTTTTTTGGTCTCACACTTTCCACATGACAATTTTCTCAGAACATTTGATGAAATTCATGATGATGTTTACAATTCAGTCCTTCCAGAGGACGCTGCGGTGACTATATCAAGCCCATTTGTTCGATAGGAAGGGGCGAGTAATGTGAAAAGGGTTCATAAGACCACAGCCAATATACTTTTAACCATTTGACGACCATTGATGCGTTTGACATAGCTCTTGGACACACAGAAGTGCTATGATTGGAGTACAGGTTTGGCTTGTTACCTCCAGATAATATTTGAACAAAATCCACATCCCACATTCTCGAGTGCCAGTATATACCGTAACTTTCTCACAACCGCGTCAATCAAGAATCAATCAATTGATTCTTCGCCAAATAGCCAACACTAGCAAGATCTGGCGCACTTCGGTACATGGTAGGCTCTCCATTAGTTCTATAAAATTTGTACAGGCGATTTCCTACTTATAATCCTCTGCTTTACTCTACTTTACGTGCACATTACGTATATAATCTATGTTAAAAATTCCTATCCCTTTCCCACCTTATGGGTTTACATTTCTCTTCTCATCCAACTTTTGGAGGAGGAGAGATGGAAGTCTTACAGACGCAAGGCAGCTAAGACCGTGCCAGCCCTGCTAGTGACCATTTCAGTTTACATAAATGCATGAGTCTGCTAACAATACAAAGCCTCCAGGCCGATAAGGTACAACGCTCCGTAAAAGAGATTAACACAAAAAACGTTACCTACAAAGGCCTTCTCGTCACCTTTCTGCTTCATCGGCAGATAAGTTCGTCTGATTGACTCTGTCCACACGGACAAGATCGTCGCCTTCCACACTGTGCTGGGTAACTTTGCTAACCCTTTGGCGCAATTTATCTCTGTTATCGTGAATTCTTCTCAAGCCGTTCCCCACCACCACCAGAGAGTACAGTGAATGTGTGATCATTGGCCCCAAGATATTACCGGTCTGTTTAAGAAAGAAACAAAAGCCTGTTCAAAAAATGCGGATACACTCGGGCATAACTGATTGAACCGATACACACAGTTCTTGCAGTCAGACCTTGGTCTGATATCTGCGTACCCATATACTTCAGGTGAAACCTACGCACAACTTGTACTACGTAACATTAGGAAGTCCAAATAAATAGGACGATGGAAACGACAACTAAAAGCCGTCAACCAGGAGCTTACCTGCACCCACTCGAAACCGAGATACAAAGCCAGAAGGGCCTCCATGAGAGGAGAGTAAATCTTCTTCAACTGTCGTCGTTCGTACCATGCTGTTAACAATTCCGATTTACCCAGGATTAACACCACATGAAATTCGCTCATGACTCCAGACGAACCAATAACGAGGAGTTATGGCTCAATTATGTCACTCGGTAAAAGGCATCCGTGCATACGCATACATTGCATGTTTCCGTTTTGAAGTTTATCATACATTCGGTTTGAAGTCATAGATTCAGTGAAAAATAGCTGATTAGGCCAGTTCATAACAAAGACCTCGACCAGTATACAAATACAAAGACTTACCTGATATCCTCTTCTTGATGTCCCTTCTGTTATTACGTCCGAACTTGTTTCCAGAAACTGGAGCGATCACATAAGTGGGATCTGGTGATAACAAAAATGGTTGCATCAAGTTAGATGTAAAAATAGTTTCGTCCACCTTTCCAGACAGAAACAGTCATGCTTGAACAAACGAAATAATTCTTTGTTCGTCGGAGTATACACACCTGTAGGAGAAGAGATGACATAGTACATCGAACCAGTGAGAGATGCGGTCAGAACAGCTGCGCATGCTTGGGCAAACGGTGTGAAGAAGGGAATAATTCCAGTCTGCACATGGAATGCAAAGGCTTGTAAAAAAAAAATCGTTTCAACAACTTCTATCCTTACAGTCGAAGAAAGTCACTACCCAAGCAAATCCAAGAAATTACATACTACCTAAGTTCAGACATGGAGACGGGTATGTTAGAGCAGCCATGTACAGGAGGGTGGACTACAAGCAGAAAAGAGGTATCAGGCGCAACACTAGACGTGAACTGGTTCTAGGAGAAAGAGGAAACTTTATTTAACACTCACGGCCTGGTGTTCAGGTAGAGAGAGGCGCCTCACCAAAGCAGAGATACCGATCGTGGTGTCATTTACATCTTTGGCTGTATATTGCAAAGCATGAGCAAGCCCTCCCTGAAAAGAAATCATTCCACCACCATGTTACAACACATCCAGGAAAAACACAACACACGGCCATTCATCGACGACATGTAAGACTGGAGCAAGAACAAAAGGAAGATTCGAGAGGACACCTGAATCGCGACTCTGAAGAACATTTCTTCTGCGAGGGCTCCAGCGGCTACAACGAAGATGAACTGCAAAATAGGTGCACATTTCTTAGTGACCGGAGACAGCAAAATACGGAAATCACAGAACTTGTGATCGGTGAAAGTGCAGAAAGATAATTCCTGTACATGTGAAAGACTACTGACAAAAATAAAGACTCAAAATGAGGAGAGCTATAATGCGGCACTGGTGAGGAAACAACTGCTTCTACTCACCCAAGACAACATCGTCTAAGTTTCGACAGACAGCCTGCCTCAACGTCTAATTCTCCTGTGGACCAAATTTGGACGAAGAAACGCAGAGGTACGCAAGATGCAGTTAACTTCCAACGTTAAAACAGGTCATGTACAGAAGAGATGATAATCACCTGCCAGCTGCTCATTCCCACAAAAAAGTCTATGAGCTCCTCGTCCTCGACGTCGCGTATAGCTCTGGCTGGAGGACAGACCTTCACAACCTCGTCCTGCAATAGGCGGAACGGTTAGCATGGCAACACTACTTCAAGGCAATTGAGAAAGCAAAGAGAAGGTTTTCAACTTAGGTGAAGTACGCCACCCCGAGCGGGTCTGCCTTCTCGTAGATAGAGGTATTGAAATTGTGTGTACCTCCAGGATAAAAAGAAGAGCCATCATTGGAGGTACAGCGTATCCTAGCCCTTGCACGACTGTTTCGATCGATAATTCAAATCCACCCGAACAATCAACTCCAGTGACGGCGCAGAGAGCACTTCCTGCCACGGCTAAGCCTCCGTACATAGCTGAAAAAGATGCAAGAAACAGAAAGAGTTAAGAAAATTGACAAACAGTTTGAGCACCGATTTCAAAGCCGCTATCAACGATTGGTAAGGAGCCCACAAACGGCATCCTATCCGAAGCACTTACGCCCAACTTCAATTGTTCCACGGCAAGCTAAGGCCTGTTAACAAAGAGGATCGACAGTTGCCTCCGCGAGCAACAATGTGACTTAAGTACGACCTAACCACCTGAAAATCCCAAAAATACTTACCCATGGCGTACATGACTCTCAAAATCATATTGATCTGCTCCCAGCTTTCCTCGGACTCGCTTCCTGTACTACTGAGATACTGGTTGGTATTCCAGCTACCCTGCCGAATGAGAAAAACAACGGTATGAGATAGGACTTGACAAGTTGCTTCCGACAGCTTTTCCGCCTACCAGAAATTCATACGGTGCACTTAGACTTGTTCTCGCAATATTGCAGTGCAGAATCCTGACTAGGCTTGCTACGGCAAGAAGGTAGGTCTTAAAAAAATCTGTCGAAATTAAACAGACCAGAGTTCTTTCTAACCAACACGCCTGAGCACATTTGACTCGGTTCAGCTGAATGCTTACCTTGTTCAACAGCATATCACCAGCCTCTCTAAAATCTGGACCACTGCTCAAAGCCTTCTTTCCTTCTTCCGGATTCCCCCCCATGGCCTTAATTGGTCTTAAGCTAGCTGATCTGGAGGGAGCTGCTCCGGATCTCTGAGAACGATCCAAAGACGGTAGATTAAAACCTAAGAGGATTGGTGCGCTGAGCAGCAAACCTGAGCGACCTTCACGGCTTCGACAAATAGAGGCACTAGGTGACCTGGAAATCGATGGTGGGCGTGTTGGGGAGTGATCGCACATGTCGCTGTCTCTGACCGATTTTTTGGTGAAAGAACCCACGGATGATCGACTTGGCACAGCAGGGGATTCATAGGATGCCGAACAGCAGGCACTCGTAGACAAACCCTGTGAACCCCGCACGTGGTGCAATGAACCCTCCGAACTGTCTGTGGCCGCACCCTTCGTAACTCTCTCGGAGTCCCGATCGAGAGACAGCGCGTACGAGAAGCTCTGCCCAAACGTTCTCCCTCCAGAAGTCACAAAAGGCCGACCAGATGAGACCCGGAAGCCTCCAGCCAGCATCCCGGCGTTGCTCATTTTGCCTGTGTGGAACCAGATGTATTTAATTTCTCATCCACTGCTGAAGCTTTAAATTGAGCACGGCCAAATGAAAGCCTCTTGTCATCCAGCTGCCGTTCCCGAAAAGAATCCTGCACTTCTCCTTCACTGCAGGCAATCAAAATCACCACCTATTCCTCTTCACAACTCCGTAACAATCTTCCGAAATCCCTCCCCGATCAGCTACCCACTCTCTACTCGAACTCCAACCTCGATCGAACACCCTACCACAGCTGATCTGACATGAATTAATGTCCTTAAAATAATGAAAATAAAACGAAACCCCAGCAGGAATTCGATTCGGTACCTCAGACACTCCGACTAATTGTCCCTTCTCATCTCACGGCGAAACCAAACCAGGAACAACAGCACGAATCTCTACTTCACAGTGGACTAAACCCTCCGGGCCTCCTCGCTCTGTCAGATTTAGATCTCTGTCAGACTGTCAGTGCAGAAACACGGTCAGATTCTCGTCGATTTCTCATCAACTGCTCTAGACCGCAGTGTTCCGCTGACACAGCCACAGGGGCTCCAGGTCCTGCTCGGATGCAGGAGCTGCTGGAAGAGAAAGGGAAGCAGAGAGAGAGAGAGAGGGAGAGGGAGAGACAAGGAAGGACTCCGTGAGAGTGTGGGTGTGCTCCAGGGCGATATCCCGAGATTTCTCGGTGATGAATAGGATTAGGATAGAGATTCTGTCCAGCCAGTGAGCGATGACTGCACTGGCATCCCATTCGGTCCGGAGCCCGCTAATGAGCGACCGCGCCAGCACTTTTTCCTTGCTGCATGGACTCCACAAGTTCGGTGTCGCCCGGCGACAAAACACTCATTTCGGCCCCTCGCCCCCGCCGGTCTGCTCTCCTTCCTCGGACCGAAGACGTGTACAGGTCCCAGTGACCGGCGCTTTCGGGCGGACCAGTCCACTCAGCGCATCTGTGGAAGAGGGCCTGTGGTGCCCCTGGGGAATATTCCGCCCGCCGCTTGTCGAGAAGATGTGTTCGCCCGGAAGTCTGCAGACTGCGCCCACTGCCTTGCCTGCCCGCGAAGGCGGATCTTTAGATCCGGTTTCTGGATCTGGTGACTCCGGGGAACATGGCGACGGAGCGGACTGCCAGTTCCAGTCACATCGACTTTGATTCGATTTTATCATCCCCTGTCGTCTTCGCTCCTTAACTCTCACATCTGAAAGAAACTTCTTTTTCATTTTTTCTAATAAATTTAAACTTTACAAAAATAATATGTCAGAATTCCTGAGTAATCTGTAGAGAGTAAAATTATTTGATTTCATATGTTCTAATTTTATAATAATTCAAAATGATGACATGGAGTTAAATAAGTTTTCAACATTTGTGGTAAAATCTCAATTAAAGTCATACAATAAGGCCGCTGCCACATTACCGGCAGCCGGCAATAACCTCCTGGCTAGGTTTTAGCGTGGTCTTTGTAGTCTTCAGTCACCCACTTGGACAAAGCTCCGGAACCTCTATGTCACTTCCTTCCGGGTGAAAAGAGCTTCAAACACATATCTAGTGTATGGAGACATAGAGACTATTATCCTTTCACATCATCTTTCTAAGCGAAAGTGTTTGGAACTTCGCAGCAACCAATTTCTTTTATCAATCTAATATTTTTTAAATTAAACTCACTCCCTCGTGGTATAGGGAGTACCTGGCGAGTATTCATTACCACTTCAGGTCGTGTGGCTTGGCCCAGAGAGAAATCCTATATTATGAAATGAAATTTAAATTTATAAATAAAAAATTTAGATGTATCGGATGTTTTTATCAAAAATATATTTATTCATAATTAAATTAGAAATTCTTCCTAGAATAAGTCATAACAATTTCCTGTTTTTTATTTCATGGACCAAAGAAATTTGAATAAATTTTTAAGTATTTTCTTCAATGATTTATTATTTACTGATTCCTAGATATATTGCTCAAGATGTTGACATTTTGGAAATGAAAAAAATTAAATTCTATTTTTTTAATTATTATTATTGAGGTAATTCGAATATTAAAATCATCATAAAATAAGTCTCATATACATTGGTTTAAGTGCAACACAGATTGTAGATACTCAAATAATGGCTTTTACCTTACAATTCATCTCACAAAATACTTATCATGTTGACTGATTACTTCAGTAATTAATATTCATGAACATAGTAATCAATTTTTGCAAGAATGAAATATTTTATTAAATTGTAACAATTTGCAAATCATGATGTTTTATTTGTCAACAAAACATATGCTAATCCGATGAGTTTGAGCGATAAAAAAATTTACTTTAGTAATTGCAAATAAATTATAGATTCAAAACCAAAAATTCATCTATTTCTATATAAAAAAATTAAAACCAACATACCAATATTTCAATACAATACATAACATTATATTCTTATTTTTCATATCCAATTTTGATGATATAACTATTAATGATGTAGTTTTGAATTTCAAATTTCAAATTTTCTGAAGTTGTTTAACACATATTAAATTTAATTTAATTATGAAATAAAATTAATAAACTTATTAGTTTAAAATCTAAAATCGAAAATGATTGCAAATCATTTATATCCATGATGTGCAACAAATTTCATATTTGATATTTTAAGATTGTGACACAAAATACTGGTCGTTGTGATACAAAATAATATATTTATTGAGATTATAATTATACTACTAAAAAAATTAGATCTACAAGCATAAAAAATATTTTAATGTAATTTGAATCTAAAAAATTCATCAACAATTTGATTTTTTTGAAAGTGGTGAAGATGTAATATGTTGAAAATTGGAAACAAAAGTACTGTGCTTGAATATATTTGGAGTTTCAATGTATATTATTCTCAAGTCTCATGTTTAATAAACTAAATCTTACCATGTTTATAATTAAGAACTCATGATTTAAATGATCTTTTGATTTTTTGATATCATTTCTTCTGAATCATTCAATAATCTTGCCATCAAATAAGGTGGATTTTTATGACGATTCGTAATATCAACATAATACAAAAAAATCTGTATGGTGACACATATCATAGATTTGACATATATTTTTGTTTTACCAAAGTGGAGTTTTTATTACAATTATTTGATTGAGGATGGAATTATTAAAAATTTAAAATCTATTTTTGACGGATATATAGTTTTTTATGTAGATGAATTGCCTTTCAATATATTATGTTGAAATCTTTTTAATACTCTAATATGTCTACAATTGCTTTCATCACACTCTTTCACAAAATTCTAGAAAGATTAATTGTCTTAATTATTCTCGTGAAAACTTATAGAATCTAATTTATGTTTTAGAAAAGGTAGTTCACATAGATTACCAATTAATATATTCGCATCTTTTGACATTTTTCAGATAAACTATGATTTCAAATTTGATGTGATTTTTAGCACAAATTCATAATATCCAAGTCTATATGGTACCACAAAACTCTTTATAACATAAATAAATCAATTATCAAATACTCTTATCATACACTTATGGCAGACATTTGAAATTAGATAGCTTTGAATATCGTATGTGTTGTAAAATATATTTTACCCAAGATACTATCAAAGAGTAGTGTTTATTTTCACTTCATTTTTGCTTGTGTAGAGCGATGGGATATTCCAACTATATTCTGTACATGTTCGGGAACCATTTATTGTACATGATATTCGTACAACTGAACTACTACTGCGAATGTTGTTGTTTATACTTTACATTTATTTCAGGTTGTTACATTTCTTTACATCGTGAGAAATTGTGACATGCAAAATGACTTGTGGGCACATTACATCTACATCAAGCGTGAATATTGGCGTACTCTATGTTCATCTGATTGTTGTCTGTTATAAGAACAATGAAAAGTGAGATCGCTTTCGTACTGTCAAACTCAGAAGTTATAATTTCTATAATACACATGAACCTTGCAACCTTACAACACTTTTCAAGCATTGACTTTATCGAATCCATCGAGCAGATAAAGAGTCTAAATATTTAGCTATGATCCTTTACAGAAGACCCCTACAGTGTTTTCTGGGTAACAGGGAAAACAGTTACAAGATTCTCAAAAGGCACCCTGTTAATATTATCGACAATGTGCCAATCCGCGTAAAATTTGGACCCTATCGACATGTAATTACTTTTTCTCTCCTGATATGGAAAAAATAACTACACTCCCTGGATTTATCCATGGAATTTGTATGGAACAATTTACTTCAACCAGAACGAAACCTATGGAAACATAGAGTGAGTTTCATGGGAATTGGAATTCCCGTCCACTATTATATCGGGTATTTTGGAACACCTACTGTATAACAATCAAAGAAGTTGGTGAAGCCCATTTTCACACATGCAAATCTTTCGGAGATTTGCCGAACAAGAAAATACAGAGCCAGATCAATTACCGTGGAGGCATGCAGGAACTAAGCTCCGGAGAGAGACAAGGAAACATGCAAAATCTGATATTTTTTCACGTGAATTAGAAGGACACTTCGATATGCTGTACTCGTCATTACAAAACTTCCATAGACAGATCTTTTCACAGCTTTCTGCAGTCATCGTGAATCCATCGAGCGGAGTCACTCACAAAGCGGTTTAGAACAAATCGGAATCGAATCGACGACTATTGCATGCATCGTCGAAAGGCAATTATGATGATGACACACGAAGCGTCGTTGATCACGGGGGCTCACATGATCCGTCCACATCGCATACCAAGTGCTCGGTCAGGGCCGTCGGTCAGTTCCCGGGGAAGCAAGCGATGCTCTTCTCGTTCCCGGGAAGTTGCTGCGGCTGACCGCTGTTCAATCAGCGTCGTGGTGAAGGGTCGAGCCGAACGAGGGTCCAGCTGGCCGCCCTCGGGCTACCATATCCACAAAGACCTCACGAGATTTCTGTCTGCCCGACGGTCCCAAACGCAGTACAGCAGCACTGCCGATCACGCTACACCTCCGGCTCACCTCGTACGGGCTCTGTCGTGCCAATCACGCCAGCAAGTGAACCAGCCGAGCTCCTTGTCGGTGAAAGGGAAATATGACACCCAGCTTACGTACGTTCACCCATCCTTCACTTAGTTCACTTTGTGCTTAAAGCACAAAGTGAACTAAATGAAGAAATTTCCTCTTGTCCAAAGCACAGTGCTTTGGACAGAAGGAATTTATATAAATTTAAAAAATATAATAATTTAATAATCATGGGAGTTCTTTTGAGAAAAAGAAAGGGAGTAAACTTTAAAAGGCATCACAAAGGAATATTATATAAACAACCCATCACCGGACCCCAAGTAGATTGAAGTCCAGTCGAAAAAAATCCAGGCCATTTTAGTTGGCTTGCCAACTTTAATGGTTTGGTTCCCTCCAACTCACAGGAGAAAGTGGGGAAGGATGGGAAGACCTAAACCTACGGGAGTATGATGATATGCTCTGGTATTAACGAAGTTGCCAAATGGTCAGAACTCCAGCGGCATAGGGCACTCATTGTCAGAGCTTAGGAGAACATTCTCCATCCGGTTTGCGGCGGAGGCGGGCTCAGCAGAAAAAGTGAAAAAGCTGGGCGCTTTTGTTTCCGTTCGGTGGATTTCTCATGTGGGGCTCTGATTATCTGTACATTATTCCATTCAAGTATCACAAGATATTGAAATTTGGCAGGAAGTTTTCTCAGCAGTTCATAAACCTTTTCCATGATGAGCATATTGATGATCAATATTCTATTCAGCTGTGATTTATGAATAGTGGGACGCATGCCAAGACACGGCCAATTGGATTAAAATTGTTTTGGCGTAATAATAAGCATAATATGAACGATGGCATACAGCACCTAACGTTTGAAAGCTTAAAAAGCATAAAGAGTTCAGTTTAACCTTTATGGATCTACTTGTGTGGCTGTAAATTTTCGTGCAGAACTTGAGATTCTGGTGCAAACACTAATCATAAACAGCTGGCGCCAAATTAGCGATTTAGCGCAAAAGTTATCAGTAAAGATTACTATTATTATCAAATGAGCCAAAGCGGCTCTATAGCGAAAAGAGGTGTGGCAGGAGTCAACGCGGAGTTACCGGTAACTCGTGCAAATACTCAGTTTTGTAGAAGAGCAAAAGGGACGGAGTGTTTTAACAAAATAGTTCATGTTCTTGAAACAAGCCCCAGGGGGACCATGGCACTGGGCTGCACGAAGTGTCAGGCCAAAGATTCAGATTGTCGAGAAGTACAGGCACAGGAGGAGTGCGTGACTCAGCGTGGTCAATTAGCTGACAATCTCAACTGGGCACGGCACAGAAGTTCATAGGAAGGGCGTGACGATTTGTGAGCCATGCGTTTCTGTGGAGTCTACTCCTGTTCCGATCAGAGCGCCTGGCTGTGGCTTGAATCAGATCTGTCAAGGGCGACCCGGTCTTGTCCTCGCGTTTGATCCAATCCACTCCAGTTTTTCAGCAGGGGATCGTGCGTTCTTGCTAGATCTTGGCGTCGAGAGAACCAGGCCCAGTGACGACGACCCCCTCGAGGTATGGGCAGCTGGAATCGGTTTTCTTCTGCTCGTATCTCTTTCTCCATGTGCATGGCAATGTTGTGACAGTGGAAGAATTGTTTGCGCAGTCAGTTGATATAACAAGGTCAAGTGAAATGGGACAGGAGGATACAGTGCAATGAGATCGTGAGATGGATTATTTCCTCTCTGGACAAGGGTAAGAGAGCTAGTCGTTGAGTTCAGGAAAGGACGGAGCCACGCAGTTTACTTTGTATGGGCTGCTGGTAATGAGACAAATGAGGCTGGTAAAAATGAGCGAGAATCGAAAGGAAGTTAAGGATTGGAGGGTTGGAGCTCTTGGTCCTTGATGACCAGCAATATGATAAAACAGTGGAATATTGTCCTGGAAAATACTCGATCTCATCAAATAGTGTTTCTACAGAGACATTCAATTTCCTGGCAGTAATGCCTCCTGACAGGAAACAAAGCAGGATTTAACGAAGAACTAGAAAAAACTGCGGCAATAATTTTATCGTATTCCTTGTTGCTTCAGCTTTGTATCGATCCAGCTAAACTCGCCAGAGTTGTATCCGTGGGCGAACGATTCTCAGTTGCAAGAAGGGGAATCCGCTCCTAGACGTGTGACATTTTCAATCAAGCTGGATCTCCGAGTAGCTTTGGATTATGAACCCTCGCTTCAGTGAAAATTGTGAATCTCAACCGATGGAAAAGCCTTTTTTCACCACGGGAGATTCTGACGCTGGGAAATTATTTTTTTCCTCGCAGCCCGGCTACGTCGTGATTGCCAGGACGAGCCGCCTCTTCACGCGATTTGTCGAGTTGGATGCTTCGTTTGGTCAGTGCACCTTGGCCCCTATGCGAAGACCATTCTAACTCCTCGGGGCTTTTATTGCATACTGGGACATGCCCTTGTGCCCCCTCTGAATTGCTCGTGCTTGATGTTTATAGATGCTGCAGAATGAAGTCATTATCAAATTGAGGGGAGTTTTGTTGTTGGTTGCTTTCGGTGTCAGTTGTCCCCGGTAACGTAGTAACCCTCGAAGCTCACCATATCTAATAAGAAGGAATGGAACTTAGGTGCTGAATTCTTTTGAGAATAATGGAAATTGAGTAGTCACTGAAATTCAAATTAGGATTTGATCATTCGTGAGTCTGCTGTCCAAGAGGACCTGGTTGGTGGCTGCACAGAGCAGATTGTTTTTGCAAAGGTCTAGTGGCAGCAAGCAGTTTCGAAAATTTCTAGTGAGTCTTCTCTGAAACAGGGGAAACTCCAATCCCATTTGGAAGATGGACAGACTATTTTCTCTTATGCTTACCTCAGATGAATCTGTTACTAACTTTGAGTTCAACAATGACATCATGTTAAATCTCAAGTAACCAATTGATATAGCAAAAAGGATAGGCATAACTCATGAAATCGATGTATCTCAATTGGATTTCAAAGTTGCACTCACGCAATAGGAATCTTTACAAAAAAATTTCTTCGAACATTCTGCTGATATTGGCAATGTTCTCGCTAAATTCTAGAGAATTTGTTGTTAGTGTCTGTCTTGCATTCATTCTTGTAATCTACGTTGTGTCAAATTTTTTGGGTCAATAATCTTTAAAGATGGTTGAGCTAGTGAAGGCTTTCTTAGTGAGCAATTGAGAGATCTACACGAATCTCATTTATTGGGAGGAAATACTTCTACAAGGCAAACACTGTTCAGTGTGAAGCAGTCCTTCCGTCCCATTTTACGTCTTCCCAGTTTGTCACAACTAGAACATATCAGCCGCGACGCGATGTTTGTATTTTCAGGATACTATAAGCAGACACTAATGAGTATATTTGTCCTCCTTTTGGGATACAGGTAGCACCCTGTTCGGTACAAGTGCTAGTCTAAAACTGTCACAAAACCAGGTCTCAGGAAAAAGGAATATGGGGGCAGCACGAAGGAAGGAAGCAGCTGGTTCGGTGGTTTTAGTGACTGGTTGTAAGGATGGTGGCATTGGATCTTTGTTGGCTATGGTGTTTGCGGCAGCCGTATGTCATGTACTTGCAACACCGTGCTCCTTGAGTTCGGTGATACGGTCGAAGATGTCTCCTGGTATCCAAACTATGGAACTAGATATCACCACTTTGGACTCGGTCCTTGTTTATCTTTCAGCTCAGTTTGATAGCCTGAGTTGTATAGATCCAGTTAGATGGCCTGAAGTGGGATCATGGAGCTGTGCCAGGTGAATGCCGTTTGTTTGTTGGGGAACGGCGATGCTATTCGTACAAGGGGATTGCTACACAATCTCGCCTATGAAGGTATTATGTCACAGCTGGAGTTGTCCAGACTGTAGATCAAGAGCATGGTGGAATCGATATCTAGGTGACCAATGCAGGAGTACCGTGTATAGCGCCTATTGCAGCTTGAGAGACAACATCCAGAACCAACGTCCATGGTGCGATTTCAGTCTTGGCCTGTGCAAGCCAGTTTGTTCCTTAGAAGCCATGTTGACTGCTGATTGAGAAGAAATCTCAATCTTATCTTTGTAGGAAATTGAAGGCCCTTGTGGAATGTGCAGGGCCACTCGCAGTGATACAAGCTGTGCCTGTCAGGGATGGCATCTAAGAGTGAAGGGAAGATAGTGAATGCTGGGAGCACAAGCAGCTACGCCAAGGGCCATGGGTTGGTGGATCTTCTGCATCGAAAGCCGCAGTCGAATCCCCACATATGCTTTGAGGTAAATGCATGTGTACATATAAGTCGAAGTACTTTGTTTGGAGAGTGTTTTGAAAATTGACAACCGATTGGATTCAACACTTCGAAAAGCTTCACATCTGACGTTGGATATGTAACTAAGCTTATCTTATACAAAAAGAGTGAGAAAGAAAAGAGATAATATTCCAGGAAGAGGAATCAGTATATGCTGTGAATGTTTTTCCCCAAATCCTGAACTCATTCGGCAATATTTTTCCATGTGCAGGATGGATTTGAAGCCAGTCGGGTTAGATGTGATGCTCGTTCTGCCTGAGGCGATCAGTTCTAAATTTATATAATTTTTTTTTGAAGATATTACCACCTCCAGTCTGATTGAAGGACTCCAAATTTACAAATTATGGAAGCCCACACTTCACAAGAGAAAGGGACCGTATGAAGTGAGCCATTCCACTAGAACGCAGGAGTCCGCGCAGATGACAGTAAGAAAGACGTTGTCCAAAAAGGCCTCCCTACCGTTCTATCTATGCCCGATCCACCACATTGATGGACCAAATACACAACCTGCCTCTTTGGCTGTGTGACAAGGAAAATTCTGTACCACTCTGTTCTTTTTTCTCTAGAATAGAAATGGAAGAGAGTTGCATTGGCCTTATCAACCATGATGGAGCTTCTTTACCCTGGTGGAAACATGTTTGCCGGGTCAAAGGAATCACTTGGAGTTTGAAGGGGATTCTAAATTTCAGAATATTAGGTTCGGAGATAACCTGCTTGGATTTGGTACACCGAAAGACAGCAGAAATTCCTGATTGGTGCAGAAAGTGTTTAAGACTTTTTTAAGTAATGGACTTGAGATAACTAATCGAAGTACACATGGCACTTTTCTAGACCTTCATCTGATTGTTGATTTATCCAGCAGGTAATGTTTTATGTAGCAGCGTCCTTATGTGGATAGATGCGTAAATCACTGAAGGTGATTGTTCTTTTGGTGTGGTATAGGATGAAGAGAATTAAACGTCTGAATCATTTTTGCATTGCGCGTATCAACATAGCATAAAAAAGAGATTATATCAGATCCCAATATACATACTGTAGACTCCTGCAGTTATTATTTCCGTCACAGCCGAATCCTTGAATGCTTAAACTTCAAATACCAAATTCTCATATACCTACCTCTAACTATATCCGTGACCTTTTGATCTTACAGGTCCACTGTTGAGCCTAACCGAAAACCTATTGCGAATGGCGCTTAGTAAATATTTGGTCTTAATTATTGTATCAATCCTAAACATGCTCATTTAATCTAAAACTCTTGACTTCAAATTGGGCATTAACCATTTAACATAAATTTCGAAATGTCAAATATTAATGTACTTAATTTGTTTGTACAAAGTACATTATTGTGTTATTGTTTTGAAATTCTCAACAGCGTGTGTCGATCAAAGAGTATTTTTTTGTGTAATCTTTTTGACTGCACTTTTTTCTAAAAAAGAAAACAAGATAGAGACAAGAATTTGAATGAGAAACACAAGCAATTATAAGAACTAACATGATTGCTTTTCGCAATTATATATTGTCCTGTCATTGGAATATCATATTGGACGAGACATAGTTGAAACTATTTGTTATTTCCACAAAGCATTCAGACACTTAAGTCGAAGACATTCTTTTTCTAAATCACTCTATGGCAAATTAACAATCATGTATCTTCTTGTCATCTTCAAAAACTAGATCAAATCATCTCTTGAAGATTTTAATGTAGTTATATGAGTAATATGGTTCTTTTACTCATCAAGATTGTTGGATAAATTCCAATATTTTTGTATAGATCTCAAACCTTAAAAGTGAAATATGAAGTCATGAATGAATTTATCATTACATGTCTCTTCTAGATTTGTGGAGTACACAACTATCTCATATTTACGTTTTGTTCTTCGCATAAATTGGATTTTGTAAATAAATTTGTAAAGTTTTGTGTTGATCCAACTTGTTTCAAATCTGCATAGTGACTGCATAGTGACTAGCTTTAGATTTGGAAATTTGGAGCAATGAGTTTGATTCAGAGTTGCATTTTGCATTATCCTCGTACAACAGGGTTACAACTTTATTTTGAAACATCAAGAATACGGTCAAAAGACCTCCAATTCATCTGGGTCAGATGCAATTGTATGACATTCATATATGTCCAACTAAAGCCTCGATAGTAAGAATCACATATCCATGATGCAACGAGTCATGATCAATATCAAACAACTGGCCTAATTGTGCGAATCTGTAGAATTTCACTATTCTTTCCATCATTATAGAACAAGTCCATGTCTTCTTTAATTTTAAGTTGAGTTTATTTTATTCTGCTTCATTGTATCTTGATGGAGTCAATGTTGAAACAGGCTAAAGACTCAGCGGGAGAATAAAGTGCAACTTCCTTTGCTTCTCCACAGGCTCATCTGGGGTTTGATCTATGTCGCATTTGATGCATCGGTAGTTTTCTTGGTCTGCCAAACGTTGATGTTGAAACAGGCTCACAAGTGATGTCAGATCCGTCGCAATTCGCAAGTTACACGATTATTTCCATGGCTCCAAAGTATGAAATATCATATCTTAGACATTTTCTACTTTAGTGAAAGACTTGTAAAAATCGGGATGCACATCTAAATAACACAAAAAATTGGAGAATTAGCAACTGAATAGTGTCCACATTTATAATTTTTCATCTTAGCATTGTAAAAAATTATGACAGAAAAGAATTTCTCTCAAAAGATACTCAATTCAACAACCTAGCCAATTTTATTTTTTTAAATTGGCGATTTATTGTAAGCTAAATGACTGTTTCTCTGATTGAATGATGAGTAAAGAGTATTTTGATTTATACATTGTTACTTTTCACTGGAAGATATTTATTCACGTATGTGCACATCTATATAATTCTTGAAGAAGAAGAAGATATTTTCAGATCACAAAATAATTTAACATTTTTTGAAACATAACATGAAGATCATGAAATGATCATACTTGGAAACATCTGGAATTGGAAACTTATATCAAATATTACTTTGTAAATCTATTGTATCATAAATTTACTTAGATTTTAAATATTCTCACATAACTTGTCCACAAACATAATACTTGTGTCTACTTCTCAGAAAATTTCAACAAAACATAACATTTCAATTTCAAGTTTCTCAAAAAATATGTAATTATCAAAAATACAATATCTATGATATCAACTTACATGTAGATGTAAGGTTGAAGATAAAATGGTTACAAATTTCTTTTTTTGTAAAATATATATAATATTCAATATAATATAAATGAGATCCAATGAACTGAATTGCATCATTCAAGATGCTATGGTGGAATCAAGATAGAATCAAAATTTAAACATCAACTAGAAATTAGAATCAAGACATAACTTATTGATGTTTGACCTTGTCAATGATATTGTGAAATACATAATCATAAGATGTAATTCTGAATTTTTCTGTGATAGATAATTTTTTATAGTTACTCGTTGACTGAAAGATTTAATTTTTAAATTTCTTATAAAGATAGGGAAGGATATTTAGATATTAACGTCAAAATTTGAAAAAAAATAAATTCATGAAAAAATTCTACTTCATAAAAGTGTAATAAGGGTATGAGCTTCTATCAGAAGAAAATAAGCTTCTGTTTGGATAAAAAAATTTACTTTAGAATATAAAAATCAATTACTTCTTATGTGAAGAGAAAGTCCATAACTATAGACTAGAGTGAAAAATATATTGCGGTGTAATAAGAAAAAACGAAAGAAAGATTATTATAATATAGATAATACTTTATATTTGACAAGTTTGCTATGTTCTTGAAACAAGTGAGTAATTTCTCTTAATCTTCATCTCGTCAAATTCATGGAGCTCGTATGCAGAAGTGATCCATAACAAGTGATACGGATCACTGATGGCAAGTTAGAGAATACTGTCAATTCACACTAATGCAATTGAGATATGTGTCCATATTTTATATGCCATGAGTATCATGGTTCATGCCCTTTTTCAAAGACCTAAGTTTATCCATATGGCAAAATGGCTATAACTTGGTTGAGTTGTTGTTAGTATCGAGAAGACTTAGATCACAAATCAATAGAACTTAGAAAGTATTTAATTTACGAAGATAGATTCTTGATGTATATGGGATCTTCATTAATAATTACTTATTTAACTTGATCATGGCTTCACCACTCCATTGATGATGGTCTAGCGCCAGCTACATTGGAGAGTTTTATAAAGAAAGAGCTTTCATGACATCAAATTAATAGACAGAGATGGCACACTAAAGACTTAAGCTATTTTGAAAAGAGAAAATATATTTTGATGATACTTCTACTTATGAGATTTATTTAGCCATCTGACGTGGATATTCTGTACGTGGTGAAGTGAGTCAATTAAGAAGGCTCAAAAGACACCGGCATAGTGGTGTGGTAAAAGGCTTTGTGCTTGTGGAATGGTTACGCAACTTTCAATTGGAGCTGGTAGATGAGGTTTCATCCAGCACAGAATTATGTAAGAAAAGTTCATTGAATGATTAGTTTAATGCTTGAACTCGTCAACCGTCCTCTTCATAACGGAGCTTGACGCAACTCCGGAATCTCATCTTAGTCCGTCCCTTCTACAGTCTTCTGTCGAAAATTTAAAGTCGGCATTAGAGTTTTCTAATATATTATTCAGTTGAATTATTAAAGTAACATTCTTCTAGATGAATCAATTTCACCACTAATATGGTAAGTATTGAATAAGAAAATGAATGTCTTGATGTATGTATAGATACAGATGAAGGGAAAAAAAGGATCTCATTGACTAAACCTGATAGCGTCACTCTGTTTTATCATGTTCCAAGGTCAACAATTGCTCTTGTCAATGTCATCTGTTTCCTTCTTCCGATTGTGATAAATAGAATTTATTACCGTTATGTGAATTTGTCAAACGAATATCGTATGGATTTAGTCTTGAAAATTTTTTGTTGGCATTGGAACTCTACTTTTTTTAATTTTAGTGTAAAGGAGCACATCATGCCGTTAGATCTACTATACCACTTTATTTGTGTACTTCGTAGTTCTCTCATTATTCATTTGCTTTGATATGAATTAATCATCCGATATTGTACACACAAAAAATATGTGTTTTATCTCCTCAAAGCTACATTCACAATTTCCCAAGTAGACTTTAAATAAGACCAAAAGTGTACCAAAAGGTTTCAACTAGCACTCTTGTACAATATTGACTACTATTCTTAGTTGAAATTTATTCAGATGACCATCCTAAAGTCAATCATCAATTCCTTTTTGGAAGGATCAAAGGGGACATTTTTGAATTTACTTTTAGATCCTAGAGTTTTAAAAATCCATTATCTATGATTGATTTAGAAAACCTTTTGAAAATAACCTAACATAAATTTCTCTATATATAGTGTGCGAACATCCATGTGAAAGTTCAAAAATTTTAAGATTGCTCAAGAAAATCATTCTCCAAAATTTAATAGCTTAAATATCCACACTGTAAGATGAAATCTGGTTATACATTACACAAAATTTTGCACAATTTGACATATATGACATCTAATGAGTATGTTGTTTTTTCAAAGTATTACACACTTCATGTCTAAGGAAAAAATAATAAATACAAGAATAGGATTATCCAAATTATTGATAATTTTCAAGTAATCCATTGAAAATAATAAAAGAAAAATTCCGCTTAAAATCATGGTAAAAAAGTATTATATTTAATAAGTAAAAATTTGTTTCGATTTTTTCATTGAAGTTCTTAATTTCATAAAATATCTATAAGTGATTTAATATGAAAATTTATGAACCTTATCTTCGATAAATGGTGTAAAATTT